TCTCTCTCTCTCTCTCTCTCTCTCTCTCTCTCTCTCTCTCTCTCTCTCTCTCTCTCTCTCTCTCTCTCTCTCTCTCTCTCCAGCACGCCGGAAGAGAATCCTTCAATTCTCCATCATTGATTAATTTCTCTGTTTCTTGTTTGTTTTTGTAGCCTGAGATTGTTACCAGAGAGATCGATTAGTGTATAGTAATCTATTTTTAGACTGAGGAGACGATACACAGACGAACGAAAATGTGGTTATTGTTAAAAAAAAAAGGTTATTAAATGCGCACCTCCTCGGCAACTACCATTTGCAAATAACAATAAAAAAGTAAAAACTTCAAAAACGTTGCAAGAAAAACTTCCAGCCAAAGCCCCCCCCAAAAAAAACCACTTTTACTACTCGCGTACCACTTACTATTATTGGTTAATACTTTCCGTATTGTGTATTTTTTTTATGGGGTTCATCGTTACAATAATGATTAAAAAAAAGTACATTATTAAAAGACAACATTTTTTTCCAAAAACAGATTTCTTAATACGTTTATAACCCGGCAATTACCAAGTATTAAAAACGAGCTATTTTTTTTCAACAAAGTATATTGTGCACGAAGTCAACGCGTGTACAAAAAATGCAAACATGATTAGTGGAAACTTTTTCAAAAACAATTAAAAAAAAAAACAATTACAAAAAAACAATTAAAAAAAAACAATTACAAAAAAACAATTACAAAAAAAACAATCACGAAAAAACAATTACCAAAAACATTTACCAAAAAACAATTACAAAAAAACAATTACAAAAAACAATTACAAAAACCAAAAAATTAGAAAGCGGAAAACAAACACTGACCTGTAAGAGCAACATCGGTAAGGTTCACTCCATTGATGAGACCAAGGTGTCGAGGTCCCGGCGCATTGCGACCCGAGCCGAAGGATGGCCATGGTGCTACAAGGGGGTAATCAGAAGGATCCTGCCGTGTACATGAAAAACGACGAAAACGACAAAAAAAACTACAACCATTTAGAACGGACAAGGAGCTGGACAGTGATAGAGCAAACCCAAACAAAAAGGAATGATACAGTAATATATAAAAAAAGCTTCATTTTTCAACTGTCAAATCGGCCGTGTATCATAGAGATCCACGATCACGAACGTGAAGGCACACCTGTAATAATGTACCTCTCTCTCTCTCTCTCTCTCTCTGTGTGTGTGTGTGTGTGTGTGTGTGTGTGTGTGTGTGTGTGTGTGTGTGTGTGTGTGTCAGGCAACAACGCAGCAGTAGTACCAATGGGCCTAACTCAGTTGGTACACCCAATGCATGAACCTGGTCTGAAATGCAGACCAGAGTTCGAATCCAGATATCACCAGATGACCAGTATAAAATCATTCTGAATAACGCGGGGGTGGTCAGTTCACCGATGATATCTCAAGAGGCCGTCGCCCTTTAAAAAATAATGAGGAGAAAAAAAAAGACAAAAAAAACACACACAGCAGTAATGTCCAAGTCGATCCGTTCCCTTCCCCTTTTAAAAAGCTGTATATCTATACATCGTCACAAACAGAACTGCCCGGTAAACCGTAGGCAGAGAGAGAGAAGAGGACAACAAACGAGGGGCTGTGACAAACTGTTTCGTCGGAGTTTCACCGACTCATCAGGAGGCTGAACCCTCAACAGTCTGCAGAATCCCCTC